GTTAACTAAGCAGAACAGCTCAAAGCAAAACTCGAACTGAAAGTACAAATGCTTGCTTATGCATAAGCCAAGATACATTCTTCTATTCTAATTGTAGCTACGTAATATTTTGTTTTGTTTGAATAATGATTCCTGTTTTGTAACCACAAAGTACTGTAAGCCTGCCAAAATGAAAAGTAAATATGATCAAGTTCACAAGTTAAGATTGGGATCAACACCTTCACTTTGGTGTCTGTGTTATTTCTCCACCCCCTCTTTCGCGGACTCCTCACCATCTGTTCGTCTCCTGAGACCCCTGTTGGAGCTGGTCTCCGATAGTTAAGCAATATGTGATCAAGATCAATGATTGGCAGTTCAAAAAATAATGAACAGAACTCCTATGTGATGCAACAATACCACTCCTGGGTATATACTAAAAGGAAGTGAAATCAGGATCTCAAAAAGATTATCCACAGTTTCACATTCATTTGAGCATGATTCACAATATCTAAGACACGGAAATAACTGAGTGTCTAGCAATGGATCAATGAGTAAAGAAAACAGGACACACATACAGAGTAATATTATCCATTCTTAAGAAAGGACATTCTGCTCTTTAGGACAACATGGATGAATTTGAAGGGCATTATACTAAGGGAGATAAGCCAGACAGTTGGGCCTGGTGGTGCACACCTGTAAACCCAGCAACTTGGGAGGATGAGATAGGTGGCTTGCAAGATCGAGGCCAACCTCAGCAATTTAGCAAGACCCTAAGTAGTTTAGTAAGACCCTGTTTCAAAATTTAAAAAAAAAATAATAAAAGGGTTGGGGATGTAGTTCAGTGAAAAATGCCCCTTGGCTGAATTCCCTGTGTCCCCCGACACACACAAAAACAAAGAAGCCAGGCAGAGAAAGACAAATACCATATGATCTCACCTATGTAAAACCTAAAAATGAATTTTAAAAATAGAGTAGAATGAAGGTTGCCAGGGACTTGGGGAAAGGGCAAAATGGAAGATTTGGTTCAAAACGTACAAACTTGCATTTATAAGATCAATACATTCTAATGTATAGCATGGTGACAGTAATTCATAATTATCTGTATTATATACTTGAAATTTGCTAAGAGATTAAGTGTTATGTTGTCCTTATCACACTAAAAAAATAATAAAAATAAAACAACCAGGTAAACTATGAGAGACAATGGATGGGCCTATTGACTCAATTGTGGGTGATTGCTTCTTAACGTGTACCTATACCACATCATCACATTGTATGCTTTAAAAACATGCATTTCATTTGTCAATTTTTCCTTGGTATAGCTAGGAAAATGAAAAAGCAAAAAGAAAAGGAATGAAACCCTGCCATTTGTGAAAACGTGGTTGATCTCCAGAGATGTTGTGCTAAGTGAAATAGGCCAAAGAAGGTCAAAGACCACTGGCTTCAATGACACAAGGGATCTAAACTATGAGACTCAAGAGGCAGACTGCAGAATGATGGTTGCCATGGGCGTAGGTGAAGAGAAAGCAGGAAGATGAAGGAGAAAAGAGACAAAGTTTCGGTTTTACAGGATGAATAAGTCCAAGAGATCTACTCTACAACCCTGAGTGTATAGTGTACAATACTGTATTGCAGAGTGAAAATTTGCTGGGAGGGAAAAATCTTATGCCAAGTGTTACATACACCATAACAGTAATAATAAACACAAGTGGCAGGAGGAAATTTTGGAAGGTAATGAATATATTTTTTAACGTGTATAGAGTATTTAATTAAAATATGCGTGGCTTGGTGGCACACGCCTGTAATCCCAGCAGCTCTGGAGGAAGATCCCAAGGGAGGAGGATCTCAAGTGCAAAGCCAGACTTAGCAACAGCAAGGCGCTATGTAACTCAGTGAGACCTTGTCTCTAAATAAAATACAAAATAGGACTGGGGAAGTGGCTCAGTGGTTAAGTGCCCTGGTGAAGGCGATCCCGCACTCACTGTCTTGACAGGGTCACAGTGAGAAAAAGTGTTGGCAAAGCTGCTCTTCCACTGTCTTGACAGGGTCACAGTGAGGATGAATGCTGGCAAAGCCACACTGGTTGGTGGGTAACCGAAACCATGAGATCCTTTTTTATGTAATTGGGACTTTGCATTTTCATGCTTATGTTTCTCACAGGAGGCATGAGTATGTTAAATGCCAAACAAATTAAATTTCAGATGGCTAGAATATAACAGTTCATGCCTTGGAGGCTGTTCTACTACCCCCAGCATATCAAGGACAAAGTAGAAGGCTATTCTTCTATCTTAGTACATTGTGGACAAACCTAATAATGGAAAACAATCATCCTCTGAAAGTTCATGAGAACTAGTGCACCTTGACTGAGAAACAAAGAAACTCTTTGAGAAAGCAGCTCAACCAGTTTTATGAGATTAAATTTAGGAATTAATTAAAATAGCTTTATAAGACACAATTTTAGAATAATGTTAGAAATATTATTTTATTTAGATTCTTAAGTTTAGAAATTCTTAAGTCTTTAGTTGTATAGGTTTCTGATATGTTTTAAGGATGATTCATAAACATTAGGATATTTTAAATATAAGATTTAAAGGGACTTTTTTAGATGGGAATTTTAGATTAAAAATAAAGTACAAGTGTACTTTAGGTTAATGATTGGTTAGGAGACTTAGAGTCTGGTTATGTAGTTTGACATTAGTTAATAAGAAAATAACATATCTTGGGAAAAATAGTAAATCTTGGGAAAATCTGCAAAAGTAAATTAGTGACATATTTTATTAATGATTCTGTACTTTTAATAATTATATAACTGAAGGTCATATCCTGGAAAAATGTAAATTAATGTACCCTCAATCATGGTTAAGGAAATGTCATGTCTTGGCAAAGTTTTAAATTATATAATTAATGATGTATTGTGAATCTATAATGATGAGAAAAACTGTAATAAAAGGAGACCCAGAGAAAGCTGCTTTAGCTCTCTCTCTGGAGATTGCTCGAACGGAAGGACTCCTGTCTCATCTTTTCGCCGACACCACTCATCCTTCAGGACTCCCTGGACCCCGGCAGTGCCCCTGAGTTCAATCCCCAAGACCAAATAAATATATAAATAAATAAAATTTTTAAAAATATATCATATTTTCAGGAGGGTATTAAAGCATATATTTTCCTTTACTATAGAATATCTCTAGATAAACAGGGCATGAAATGGCACTCAATTCCCTGCCCCATTATAGTAATCTATATAGAACAATAGATGGAAAACACATCCTCAGTGTTCTGTATATTCCTAAAATTGCAGAATAAAAATTGAGCTCCTCAGTCACAAAGTAAGATTTTAAAGTCTAATTTACTCTCGATCTTCTCTTCATCAGTCCCATCACAATCTTAAAGTATAATTGCTAGAAGTTGAGTATGTTTATGGTACAGATTGTGGTGATGGTTTCATGGGGTGTGTTTATGGCTAAACGAATTGGGTTGTACACAGCATTTAGTATGTCAATCCACACCTCAATGAAGTGGTTTGAAATCAGAAAAACAGTGACTGGCAGGGATAGCATGTGAATGCAAGAAGCCTGGTGTCACAGTCCGTGCTGCTAACCCCTGTACTCTACCACCTTGGAAGGGAGTGGCTAGCCTCTCGGTCAAGGAACAAAACCCATATAGGTCCATCATCAACCTCCACTCCCAGCATGACTCAGCCCCACTCACCCCGACTGATGTTTTCTGTGGTTGCTGGTCTGATCAGAATTGGAGCAACACCCTGAGGTAGCAGCTTGTCAGTCACTTTGCTGGAGAAACAGAGAGAGAGAGAGCTTTGTGGGAAGGCCACCTGGTGAAATCTGGAGCTGCTAAAGGGATTTGATGATTGACTTGTCATTTCCCCTCTAATTCAAAAAAGGAATGAGAACATTCCAGTATAATTAGCACATTTATAATTTGGGACCATTATCAGGAGTCTCGAGGAGGGACTTTCTGCATTTCATCTACTCATTGGACTCTTAGACATTAGAGTCATACCTCTCCACTCTTTGAGTTGGGTTGTGCCTACTGATTTCCAAAGTTCAAAGGAGGTGGGGGGTTGCTTTACAGTGCAGAAACCTAACAAAAATCTCTTTGGCCAGGCAAACAAGGTTAACACCAATGGGCACAAACCACATTCATACTGTGTACCTGTGATGTCACCTGATGGAAATATAATTTACTTCCACAATCTTCCTTCCTAAAATACACAATCCCAGTCTGATCATAAGCAAGAGACATCAGATATATTTCCATAGAGGGGAATCCCACAAGATAATTGATCAGTACTTCTCCAAAACTCAAGGTCTTCAAAGACAAAATCAGAAAGACTGTTACAACCAAGATAAGCCTGAATGTAATATGGTTAATTAAATGGGATCTCCAATAAGAAATAAAAGACATTAGTTAAAAATCTAGGCAAATCTAAATAAACAATGGACTGTAATGTTAATAATGCCTCACCACAGTTTCATGAATTGAAACAGATGTACCACATTCATGTAAGATGTGAATCAGAAGAGATACTATGCAGGAAATGAAACACTGGAACTTCACGCTACCTTCTCAGTTTCTCTGTTAATCTAAAACTGTTCTAAAAAATAATGTTTGTGAATTTAAAAGCTGGATCTGTAGTTGTTTACCTAGTATGAAAATATTTGTCTACAAAACCCTCATACCTCAGGGCTGGGGAGGTAGCTCAATGGGTAGAGTGCCTGCCTCTCATGCACAAGTCACTGGGTTCAATCCCCAGCACCACAAAAAAAAAAAAAAAGAAGAAGAAGAAGAAAAAAAAACACCTCATACCTCAATGTTCACAGCAGTCTTTTTATAATGGCCCAAACTGGAAATGACTCAGATGTTCACGGAGAGGTGAATGGGCGAACAAATGCTGCTACCTCCATAAGAGACAAGACTTTCAGCAATAGAAAGGAAAATATACTGATATACAACTTCAGAGATGAGTCTCAGAAACATTTCACAGACCCAAAGGCAGATACAAGACTGTATACTGTGTGATTCTGGTTTTATGCAATTCTACAAAAGGCAAAACCCATATTTACTGTCAGAAGTCTATTTGGTTGCCTGGGACTGGAGGTTAATACAGGATAGAAATTGGCAGTGAAGGGGTGCAAGAGAACTTTAGGGGAAAATATTCTCTAGCTTGACTGTCTTGGCAATCACAAAACACATTGACTTGCACATTAGAAACATGGTTATTTCATTGCAAGTAAATGAAACTTCACTAAATTTGATTTTTTTAATGTTTAAACAAAAAGTTAAAACAGCTCCAGTCTTCCATTATTTGTTTTTTTTGTTGTTGTTGTTGTTGTTTTCTTTTTTTTTTTTAGTACCAAGAACTGAACCCAGGGATGCTTAACCACTGAGCCACATCCTCAGCCCTTTTTTTATTTTTATTTTTATTTTTATTTTTTGTTTTGAGACAGAGTCTTGCTGAGTTGCTCAGTGCCTCACTAAGTTGCTGAGGATGGCTTTAAACTTTGGATCTTCCAGCCTCAGCCTCCCAAGGTAATGGTATCACAGTTGTGCACCACCACACCCATCCCATTATTACCTCCTTCTGTAGCTATAACTCCGTCAGGCTCCTTTACCCTCTTCTATGCATCATTAAAAAATGTCTTTATTGTGTACGTAACATATAGATCTATTAGATATTAATATTTTGCCAGACATGAATCCAATCTTTCTTTAAAAAGAAATTGATCAATAACTAAAATGTTAAAATACTAATGCTAAATGCAGGAAAGGACACAGAGAGACTGGGTCTCTTAAACATGGCTGGTGGGAATATAAAATGGTATAGCCACTCTGGCAAATAGTTTGGCAGTTTCTTGTAAAACTAAACATCTACCAATTGCACAACCAAGAAACTGCACTCAGGCATTTTGTTCCACAGATATGACAAAAGAATCTTTTTTTAAACAAAAGAACCTGTATATAAATATTGATAGAAGCTTTATTATGATAGTTAAAATCTGGAAACACCCCAATGTCCTTCAATGAGCAAATGGCTAAACAAACGTACACAGTGGCAAGAAAAACTAATGAATTATCAATAGATGCAACAGCATGGATGGGTCTAGAGAACTTTGTTTTTGTGGGAAAAAATCTCAAATGACTGCATTACTGTCTGATTCCACTTATAGAACCATCTAGAAATGACAAAATTGTAGAGATAGATTACAGAAAAGAGTTACCAGGTGATAAGAACAGGCACTGGGGAGTGGGAGAGCCTAGAAGGGAGAGCAGAGGAGTTTCCTTCTGGTGGAGAACATTTCTGAATCTTGATTGTAATGGTGGTTACACCAATCTATACGTAAGGTGAATTTGTAGAGAAACACACATACACACACACACACACCCCTACATGGACCAGTCAACGGAAACTGAATGATTTTGTGGTCTGGTTAACAGAATTGTATCAAAGCTTAATTTCTGTTTTGATTTTGTTCTTCATATATGAAATGTTGCCATTGGGGGAAATTGGGCCAGAGGGTCAGATGATTCAATGTATTCTTTTTGCAACTTCTTGTGGGTCTATAGTTATTCACAATCAATGGTTAAAAATTAATAGATTAATCATTACAGGTTCCTCAAGCACACCCCCATGCTCCTGTCCTCTTTCATACTGTTCCTCAAAAAGATGAAGTCACTATTATGAATTTATATTCATAAATGAATTTATATTCATATTTATATTCTCATCCATATTTGATACAGTTGATACATGTTTATGAATTCAAAATACTAATTGGAATTGTTTGCAAGTTTTAAAACTTTAGCTATAATATGTATTTATCATTACTCATTATGTTTTCAAGATTTAGTAATGGTGTAACTAATGGTATTAACACCTCTACCAGTGGATATGAGATTTTCTACCACTATCCATCCTCATCGCTCTTCGTTTTTCCAGATTAAAAGGTTTTGTCCATATAAAAATTAAAGACATTATATTTGGGAGTCAAGTGTGGTGGTGCATGCCTGTAATCCCAGCAATTTGAGAGACCAGGGCAGGAAGATTGCAAGTTCAACACCAGCATCAGCAACTTAGTGTGGCCCTAAGCAACTTAGCAAGAACCTGACTCAAAATTATAAAAAATTAAAAGGAACCCCCCCAAAAAACATATTATATCTTGGTTTCATTGTAAATTTCCCTCATTGATTATGAGGATGAGTATATATTTTTATTCACTATTCAAATCTTTCTTCCGTGATTTCTTATTTATATTTTTTCCTTATTGCTCTATTGGGCTATATAATATTTCTTATTGCTTTGTAATATTTCTTTACTTACTCCTAGTACTAATGTTATTATATCAATTAAATGTGTTACAGATATCATCTCCCAGATTTTAGTTTGACTTAATTAAGTTACTTTTTGTAAGGGAGAAGTATTTGATTTCTATGTAGCCCAATTTAACTATATTTTCTTTGTGACACCATAATAGTATTTTCCTGATCCCAAATAAATTTACCAATAACATAAAACAAACCCAGAGACAAATATCCAGAATAGCATTGCCTTGAAATTTATGAAATGAAAACTGCTGTGTTATAAAGACATATCATTGGGGCTGAGGTATAGCTCAGTGATAGAGCACATGCCTAGCATGCAAGAGGCCCTGAGTTCAATCTCTAACACCACAAAGAGAGAGAGGAAGCTGATCATAACCTATAAATCTACAAACACAATATAATACATTTATATCTGAAGCTATTAGATTAAGCAGACACAAAATATTAGTGAAGATATAAAAGTGTTTTTTTTTAAGAGAGAGTGAGAGAGGAGAGAGAGAGAGAGAATTTTTAATATTTATTTTTCAGTTCTCGGCGGACACAACATCTTTGTTGGTATGTGGTGCTGAGGATCGAACCCGGGTGGCACGCATACCAGGCGAGCCCGCTACCGCTTGAGCCACATCCCCAGCCCCAAAATATAAAAGTTGAGAATTTAAAACTTAACAAGTTAGATTAAATAGGGTCAGAATTCTTTCTAGAAAAATACGGAATGTAAATTACTTTCAGTGAAATGTGACATCCAAAGAAAAAGCAGGAGTCACTGTGATTAAAGACGTGTGCAGATATTTAGTAGATTTTTAATTTTAGGGGGTATTTTTAATTTTAGGGGTATTTCAACCCTAAGCTCTCAAAATTCAAAAAATTTAAAAGTTAATAATTCACAATCATTTACAAATTACCCAAAAACTTTAAAAGTAATTTGTAAATAACTCATGAATTAAAGAGGTAACAACTGTAGAAATTATAAAATATGTAAAACACAATAAAAATGAAGCCTCCATATGTAAAACTTTGGAGAATACAGCTAAAGCTGTACTCAGGGGGAAATTCATATCCCTGATCATTTTTACACAATAAAAGGAAGACTGAAATAGATGGTGTTAAGTGTTCTGAATCATGAAACTACAAAAAAGGAAATAAACTCTATAAGAAATTGAAGAAACCAATGTCAAAGATGCCACCCAAACTCATGAAAAAGAATGGCACACCTAGGTATTCACAATATATTTTGCTGAAAATAATTTAAAAATCTACTAAATATCCGCAGTAATGAACTCTTGGGTTGAAACAGAAATGAAAGCAAGAGCCTAGATAAATAAATGAAGCACTTCAGCTACTTTTGCCCTGAGATAAGTTGTGTTGTATTTAATACTTTGCCTCTTATCTAGAGAAGTCCTCATAGAACTTCAAATCTAAGATCAATCAAAATCCTCTCTGAAGATACAGCCTGACCATGTACTATATATCTGTCTAGCAATGTCTGTCACTTGGTAGTTGCCCAAGGAGCTCATGTTGGAATTGAGTAGAAATAATTGCTGAGTGGTGCAAGCGGTAGAAGTGGTGGAGGGCCACTGGATCACAGGAGTGAAGGAAAGATGAGGCTTAAGGTTGGAATCCATATCCCAGATTCTGGGTTTCTTACTCTGCCAGCAGGGCGTCATCACGTGGTGTGGTCACCTTCAGGTAACTCCCGCTTGAGTGAGCAACCAAAGAGTTGCAGGGCAGAGTAGGAGGTTGAGCACAGAACCAGAGCTCACCAGAAACCACATCCCTGTACTGGCAGGTATGCCCTTTGGCTCCAGTTGAGTGAGGGTCAACATTGCAAATCACAGTCTCTGTAACACCAGAACTGCCCTGGAAATACCCCTTAAAATTAACAGTGGCCCTCTTCTCTTCCCAGATTCTGCGCAGAACCCCAACAGCCTCACTGGAGTGGATCAGCCGCACTTGCACCTGGGCCTTCCCAGCCCAAAGCAGAGGGAAGGACAATAGGTATGTGCCATTCTCCAGATCCTGGACATCCCCGGGGACCCCTGCTCTCAATTCTGGACCCAGCAATCTTGCCTGAAACAGATCCCCACCATGGGTCTTGGGCCTGCCTTGGTGGTCCCTGGCCACAAGGACAACCTCCAGGTAGCCTCCCAGGGCATAGGTGTCCTGAGCAGGACCCCTCAGGTGGTAGGTGGAGGTCATGGGGCTGGTGGAGGCCAAAAAGTCCCCCCCATCTCCTGGAGTCAGAGGCCAGTATAGAAGGTGGGTCAGGTTGGAGAGCTCCTGGGGGAGACAGTCCAAGAGGGAGGGTGATTCCACAGAGTTGGAGACATATTTAGAGACAGGCTGGGGTCCTGGAGCCCGAAAGATGATGTTGTCAGTCCAGGACATCTTGAAATAGAACACCTGTGGGGAGAGAAAGAGGAATCTGTTGGTGGTTTCTACTTCTCTCATTTTCTTACTGGAAGGAGATTTCCATTCACCAAAGCTCAGTTCCCTCTGCCAGGTAGGACCCAGGGCTTCTCCCTACCTGCATATACTGTCTGACTCTCATAAGCCTGGCATCTAAGTCACCACCATCTTTATTCAAAAGAAGCATGTTATGTTGCAAAAGTGAAGTTAGTTCAACTATCTCCTTCCCTTAGCCTTCTTATTCCATCCACTGCCAACTCTCTCCCCATATCCACCTGCTCCCTGAGTTATGAGCCAGCCTAGACCCAACCCTGAGATCTCTGATTTCCTCACTCTTCATAAACCCTGCTTCCTCCCCAGAGCCTGGTATTCTTAGTGACCTTCCTCTCCTTTCCCCTCTTTCCACAATTCCTACCTCCAACCTATATTTCTAGTTGAAAGTCAAGGTGGGAAAACCCTTTACTCAATTTTCTTGAGGATTATGGAAGAACAAGGTGAGACCATCCCCTCAGTGAACTCCCTCTCCAATTAGGCTCAGCTGAAGAGACTGACCCTCAGAAACCACTGGAAAGGCAGGAAATTCTAGAAAGGCACTGGTCAGGTATGGGCTGGCAAAATAAGAGAGATACTGCAGATTATTTCCAAGTGAGGCACAGTGTTTGCTATGAAAAGGAGTCTCCTCCAGGGTCCCAGATCTCACTGGCATTACAAATCACAAATACATTCCGGAGAAGTGCAAGTTCCAAATGGGAAAAGCCATGGAGAGAGGCCATGTTTTACACCATAGGGCTGGTGGTGGAGGAAGGGAATTGAGGTACCCGTGTATCAGATATTCACCCACCAATATCCATCAATATCCCTTCCGTTTCAGCAAGGGAATCTCAGTAAAAAGGCAATTTACCAACACATCTCAATTCCAATCTGTGGTAAAGACTGTTAATGTGAAGTTATCCTGGAATTAGAAGTACGAGCTCAGAGCAATTATCTTGGGAAGCTAATCGTGCAGCTATGTGTCATGAGGCACAGGGTAAGGAACTTGCTGTTCTCCTTCCCATTGTCTCCTAACCTGGCTATTTATTTATAGATGTGCCTCGTGTTAAATTGTACTGCATTGTCTCAAGATCCAACAAGATGAGTTGCAGGCAAGGTGGCACAGACTGGTAATCCCAGTGACTCAGCAAACTGAAGCAGAGGGATCACAAATTCAAGGCCAGTCTGGAAAGTTAGTGAGACCCTGTCTCAAAATATAAAATAAAAAAGGCCAGAGCACCCTTGGGTTCAATCCCCAGTACCATTAAAAAAAAAAAAAAAAAAGAAAAAAGTCTTGGCTATTCCTGTTTCTGGGAATATCCATTCACCATGAATTTGTTAGATTTCATGTCAAAGGAGATTTAAAGTTGCTTATCAGGTGATTTGAGAGTGCAAATTTATCTGGGTTTACCTGAGTGGGTCTAGTATAAATATAAGGGCCCTTATAAGTGAAAAATGGAGGTAGAAGGAAGAGACCCAGACAGAAAGAGAGAGACAGAGACAGAGAGAGAAGTCTGAGAAAGACATTTTTAAAGGACAGTAAACTCAAAAACTTATTCTACCAAATATTAAGACTTGCTATTTATCAGTGAAATTAAAAGTTTCATAAAAAGTCTTACCATAAAGCATTAATAATTAATAAATGGTACATGAATAGACAAACAGAATAAGAGAATAGAGTATTTACAAATAGTCACTCTAAGTAGATAAAAGAACAAACATGAAAGACAAAAACCTATGAATATTTTTAGGTGACAAATAGGAGACTGAAGGATTATGGAAAATAATATGCCTACAAGACAGCTTCTCAGAAAAAATGAAGGGACAGTGTGACTCGGGAGGAGGGAGGGGAAATTAGCCAAACATTAAACCTCTCCCAGAACATCCTTTCTGTTAGCAATGGGCCAACAGAAAGGAAAAAAGCAAACTTTCATCTCTTCCTAGATTCACCCCAGCATCTCCACCAAAAGCAAATATTTGCCCCTTGCCAACTCCAATGGATCCTCAAGGAAGGAGGCAAATGCTGAATTCTGGGCCCTGGACTTTAACCCTTCCCCACTGCAGATGAGTCCTGGAGGGAGAAAAACAAATAGTGAAGCACTAGGTGAAAATGGGCCCGGAGGAAGGAAGATAAGCAGTGAACACCAAGCTTTTCCAAATGACAAGGAGTTTCAAAGGATTTACAACTGTCTTCCTCAGTTAAAATTTCAACCCGCACAATGAGGTCTCTCACTGTCCAAACTGCACATCCGCATCTCCAATGATTAATTCACCCTCATTGTAAACTATAAAACCCAGACTCCTTCTGTAACACTTGAGCTATTTTCTGTACCCAGAAAATGAGTCATCCTATGCCTGATGGATTGACTTTGCTGCAGAATAAAAGAAAGCTTGCCGGGCTGGGGATGTGGCTCAAGCGGTAGTGTGCTCGCCTGGCATGCGTTCGGCCACATACAAACAAAGGTGTTGTGTCCGCTGAAAACTAAAAAATAAATATTAAAAAATTCTCTCTCTCTTTAAAAAAAAAAAAGGAAAGCTTGCTGATCCAAGGTTTGCTTCCCATCTCCCATCTCTGTCATTTGGTCACATGCACTTACAGAGACTACGTTCACATGTTTTAGATGAAGAAAACTAAACATAATACAAAAGAGCACTAACCACCACAGAACATTTTGATAACTGAAAATGTTATTAAATGGTTTATTAAAGATACTATTATAAATGAAAGAAATAAATCACTGTGAAGAAGAAGATATTTGCAAAATACAGCAAACAAAGCACTAAGAACCAGCATATATAAAGAAATTCTATGATTTAGAAACAAAACAGACAACTTGACAGGAATACAAGCAAAAGCTTGAACTGATCCTTTGCAAAAGACAACATCCAGAAATTCTAAATAATTAGGTAATTGTAAATGAAAACCACAATGAGATGCTATCACATACCCACAAAGTTAGCCTAAATGTGACCGCACATGATATTAATAGGTGGAGGTCCCTGGGAATGCTCAGAGATTGCTTATAGAGTAAAAATTGGTGCAACCAACTGGAACTGCAGACCATAAAAAGATAGGAACTCCCTGATTCATTTTATTTTACCACCTGCTCTTGATATCAACAGCAACCATATCTCATGTTCATTTACAGATATGAAAATTCTAAATAAAATACAGCAGTAAAACAAATGGATAATATAGTTTATTCCAGTAGCTTTTATTTCAGAAACACAAAGGTGGTTCAATATCAGGAAATCTATCAATGCAATGTACTATATCAAAATCTAAAGATGAAAAAAAGAAATAGCCCATGTGAATTTACAAATAGATGCTGAAATGGCCTCTCATTTGTCAGCATCCATTCATAGTTAAAACTCCAAGTAAAACAGAAGAAGAAATAAACTACTTAAATGTAATAAAAGGTACTTTCCTCTGTGGCCCATCCCTTCAGAGTCATACCAACATTTTCTGGAATGTGAACAATCTGGTTGCTGAGAAATGTGAACAGTCTGGTTGCTGAGAATGGTCTTCATTCTCACAGCAGACGTGGTGGCAAAGAACAATATAATATATGTAGAAAAACCTAAAGACTCCACCAAAAAATTGTTAGATTTGAAACTCACTCAGTAAAGTCACAAGACACACAAAATTATTATAGAAAAATCAACACCATTTTTAAGCACCAACAATAAACTTGCCGATAAAGAAATCAGAAAAGTGATCACATTTATAATTGTCACAAAAAATAATAAAATTTCTAGAAATAAATTTAACTAAGAAAGTGAATGACCATACAATTCAAATTATAAGACAATGATAAAAGAAACTGAGGAAGATACCACAATGAATAAATAAGAATGCAAAGACATCCCAAGTTCATGGATTGGAAGAATTAATGTTGTAAACATGTTTAGACTGCTCAAATCGATTTACAGATGCAATATAATCCCCATGAGAATACCAATGGCTCTTCACAGAAATTGAAAAAAAGTCTGAAAACTCATGTGGAATTGTAAAAGACCCCAAACACCAAAGTAATCTTGAGCAAAGAGAATGAAGCCAGAGACCTCACAATACCTGACCTCAAAGCATATTACAATGTTGAAGTAACCAGTGAAGCATGATATGGGCATAAAAGCTGACACATGGAGAACCCAGAAATCGACCCACTCACCTACAGCCAACTAATCTTTGGCAAAGGTGCCAGAAACATACATTGAAGAAAGAACAGTCTCTATAAACAGTACTGGGAAAACTGGATTTCCAAATGCAGAAGAATAAAACTGGATTCTCTCTCTCACCACATATAAAAAAAACAAAACAACAATAACAACAAAAAAAACCCATCAAAATGGATCAAAGTCCTACATGGAAGACCAGAAACTATAAAACTACTAAAAGAAAACATAACCGAAATAAATTAAGATATTGAGGTAGGCAGAGATTTTTTGTGTGTGTATGGTGGTGGTGGTGGGGGATCCCCAAGTAAGGCAACCAAAGCAGAAAATAGACAAATGGAATTATATTAAATTAAGAAACCTCTGCACAACACAGGAAACAATCAACAGAGGGAAGAGACAATCTGGAGAATGAGAGAAGATATGAGCAAACTATTACTAACATTGAGAATATACAAGGAACAACAAGAAAAATCTTTTTAAAAATTGAGCAAATTGGCCAGGCAGGGTGGTGCATGCCTGTAATCCTAGCGATTTGGGTGATTGAGATAGGAGAATCGCAAATTCAAAGCCAGCCTCAGCAACTGTGAAGCACTAAGCAACTCAGTGAGACTCTATCTCTAAATAAAATACAAAATAGGGCTGGGATGTGTCTTAGTGGTTGAGTACCCCTGAGTTCAATCCCCAGTACCAAAAAAAAAAAAAAAGAGCAAAATTGCTGGGCATGGTGGCACATACCTGTAATCCCAGCAGCTCAGGAGGCTGAGGCAGGAGGATTGCAAGTTTATAGTCAGCCTCACAACTTGGTAAGGTCCTAAGAAATTTAGTGAGATCCATCCTCAAAATAAAAAATAAAAAGGGTCGGGGATGTGACTCAGTGGTTAAGTGCTCCTGATTCAATCCCAGTACCCCATCCCCCGATAAAGAGCTAATGATCTCAATAGACATTTCTCAAAAGAAGATACAACATAAACAAGTACATAGTGTGATTACTTTTCTAAAAAATTCAAAGTCAGGCAAAATTTAAATATATTGTCTTAAGTCAAGGTATTGGCTACCTTGGAAAGAAGTGAGGGTGGGAGTAACAGGGAGCGGGGCATGAGAGAAGGCTTCTGAGGGTGATGGAAATTTCCATTTCTCAACTTAGATCGAGATCACACAGGTGTGCTATCTTTGACTTTTATTGAGAATTTAAAATTTTATGCATATTTTTATTTGTGTTGTAGTTTAACTATTTTACAAGGTAGAAAGTTCTGGCTGAGACCCAAAGAAGTCTCACTCACCCTCTCACAAGAACAAGGTTACTCTGGAAATGAAATGGACACCTTCTTCAGAACTATTATTAAGGGACTAGGATTTTTCTATTTAACTCTTTCATTGGTTTTAGGATGAAGACTGACTTGTCAAGCCATACTGAAGATCATCCACTTTCTAAGAAAAGTCAGAAATCTCTGTTTCCATGCAAAACATCCTACTGTTTTTTGAGTGCCACAGCATGAGTTTAGAGTTCATCCAAAGCTCAGTGTTAACTGATGGACAGACAGGGAAATGGAAGGTTTCATGGCTTCTGGCCTTTCCCAGGTTTCTCAGCAATAAAATGTCACTCCATTCAATTGCTCACTTGCTTTTTCTCTAGTCAGGAATTTTTTTTTTAATCCCTGTCTCTTTCTCTCTGATAAAAAGCAGAACTGAACACCATAGACTTCTATCTCTTTCTTTTACACTGAGGCAGAAAGAAAAATAAAAAACTTTTGGAAGGTGAGAAAACTATGAACACCATGAATTGCTTTTCTTTTCTCTCCATTGGGATTTCCCCATAATAACTTCTTACACCTGAGAGGAAACCCAAAAAAACCTTCTGGCTGCTCTCGGTTTCAGTTGATTTTTTTTTTCCTTTTACTTTTCTTTTTTGGTACCAGGGATTGAACCTAGAGGCGCTTACCCATTGAGCAACACCTCCAGCACTTTTAATTTATTTATTATTTTAATTTTGACACAGGGTTTTGCCAAGTTGCTTAGGGCCTCACTAAGTTGCTGAGGCTGTCCTTAAAATTGTGATCCTCCTGGGCTAGGGTTGTGGCTCAGCGGTAGAGTGCTTGCCTAGCACATGCGAGGCCGTGGGTTTGATCCTCAGCACCACATAAAAATAAATGAATAAAATAAAGGTATTATGTTCAACTGCAACTAAAAAAATGAATATTTTTTTAAAAATTGTGATTCCCCCTGCCTCAGTTTAGTTGACTTTTAAAATGACTAATTTTGGAGATCACACAGTTGAATGATGTATGATGACTCTTTTTCTACTTGATGTCCATGCTACCTCAGATTGAATCCACCTAATAAGTTAAAACTGTTCTCTGGCAGAAATATAATCGTCTCTTGCTCTTCTCCCCTGTTCTATATCTTAAGGATTAATTGTAAGGTAGCTACCTATTCCTGGAAAAAGAGACTTGCTGATAGTATTTTTTCTGGGTCTCTAAAAGACCCAGAGTATTCGGTGACCTTCAGATAGCAGTGCCATGTATGTCAGAAAAGCAGACGACCTAGAAATTTATGACCACATCTGGCTCTCACCCATCTCTCTGAGACTACAAGTATACCTCCTCCAAATCCCTATGTAAGTATTGTGCTTGTGTCCCTTGAGCAAGATGGCTCTTAAGGAACAGAGTCCTTAAGACTGGTTAAGTCTGGTTAAGACTCTGGTTTCCAACTTGCTGACTTGTTGCCTGTAAGGCCCTTCCCTGTCACTCTGTTTCTTGAGTTATTGGCTTCTTTGAAGGCCAGTGGAACCAGCCTTCATTTTTAATTTTTTTAGTTGTAGATGAACACGATAGCCTTATCTATTCATTTTTATGTGGTGCTGAAAATCAAATCCAGTGCCTCACAAATGCAAGGCAAGTGCTCTACCACTGAGCTACAACCCCAGCCCTGGAACGAGCTTTTTGATATTACATTCTGAATTTGTTTTAGATTCCCTAGTGGCGCTCAGGATCCAATCTGCTCACCTTCTTCCTTAAACTGATTTTCCACCCTACATTTACTCTTTCTAGAATCCCACGAGATCGAGGTCAAAACTTTGAGCTCTTCCCTCCATCCTCTCTCTTACAATCCAAACTGGAGTTTGCATAGGGAAAGAAGAAATGAGCCAGCAATGAGAGGAATCAGAGGCGAAGGAAGTACTCACGCAAACCAGAAAGAGCAACCCCGCAATCAGAATCTTGTAGCTCTTGAATTGCTCCATGAATGGATTCACTCAGCCTACGCTCTTGAGTGCGAATGAGGCTTCAGTTGGAGAATAAAGAAACACAGACTTAGACACTCCCATCATAAGGGAGTTAGTGTACTGTGGCGACTTTCCAATTTCCTTAAACACTATTACCTGGCATTACCTACGTGTTCTACCAGGTATCTATTCTAGCACTTGTGTCTCTCCGAGGTTTTCAAAATCCACCCTGGTTTTCTGCAAGAATCCTAGAGTCTCACTTTGGACTTTTGTAAGAAAAAGTTCCATTTCAGGGTATCAAAGACCACTCACCATGTCCCTGGGCTAAGCCTCATTTATACATCTGAAAAATCGCTGCTTTTTATAGGTGATAATTCACTATGTACAAAAACCATCAGGGAGAGAATTTACAGTTCGTTGTTTGCTTGAAAGTTTTCTTAGAATGTATTTTCTGTTTGTTGTAATTGCTTTATTGATATATTGTTCCTACAATGGGAGGACTTTAGCAAGACAGATGCCCAATGTTGGGAGAGGGCATCTATCTGAGAGTCCATTTGGATTATCCCAGTGTCAGAATGTCAGCTTGAGATATCAGCTTGGAGTGGGCTGTGAGAATTGAGCAGGAGAAACTGCTAAAGTCTGAGGGCAGAGATCTAGAGGTTGGTCACTATGGAGACTTTTCTGGGCAAAGCTCATGGGGATTAACCAGGTGATAGGGTCAGGGTGCCCACCATGTCCCAATCTCAGTGTTCTTTCTTTTATGGGCCTTGAGTGAGGGGGGTTGCTTCATTCAGTGATCTGATGTGATCTGGCGGGTTTTCCCAAAACGAGTTTGATATGCCCATGCATCCTCGTACTTCTGATTAGTTTATAAGTCCATAGGAGCTCATGTTTATTATTGTGATTGACTTATCCGTTTGTGCCTTATGGTTGTGCCAAACAGATGGGGCTGTTTACTGTACAAACAGGGTGTAGGGTCATTCCAACTCTGCACTTCACTCAAAATGGAGAAGGTCAAGGCAAACTCAGGTTCAAGCACAGCCTAAAAACTGCATATCATGGGCAGGGCACAGCCTGCTCTCCACAGTGTCATTAAAAAGTGGCAACCTTATTTATTACAAATTTACAATGTTTCCAAGCAAACAATTTTAATATAGCCTTTCCCTAATGTCTCAGCAATTACTCATGTTTGTTTTGCTTGGTTTTTTTTTTCTTTCAGTCTTCATAGTCCAAATTGAGAGGACCACAAAGCACTAATGTTTTTCTGTGAAATATTGAAGTCTGCTTCTATTGTTGGCATTTTGTTTCCATACTCTTTTCATTTCAAATAATCACTTTAGATTTTAAATTAAAATAATTTACATTTTCAGTTTATTTATTTAAATTATTTTATTTCAAATAATTATTTTCTGT